GGGGGGTTCAGTGATGTCAGAGGGTTCTTAAAAGTCAAGAGGGGATGTAAGAATATCCTGATGCATGCTCAATAATCCAGGTAGAAAAATCCAAAAAAGGTTAATCTGGTCCTCTGGACATTCGAAAAAACAAAAAACAAAACAAAGCAAAAAAATATAGAAACGTTTCGTCTCTCATCCAAGAGACTTCCTCAGTCTGAGGTGCTGTTTTCAGCTCAGTCTCTTAAATAGCACCTTCTCAGAATGGATCAACCAGTTTGCTGCTGACAACCAAAACAAGCTGATCACATGCTCAAGAAGGACCGTCAGCCTAACAATGGATCATTAGCACATTGATGGCGGTTTACTGTTCACAGAAAGCTGAGTGATACTAGCAATCACGGCATTGTAAGAGGGGGACAGTTGAACCCAGAGGCCTCCACCCCTGTTTAATGATGGACAATTTCTTTTCACAAAGATGGCCTCCTTTACTCCTCTCTCAAACCATCGTTCTTCTCTGTCCAGGATGTGAACATCTTCATCCTTGAAAGAGTGACCGCTGGCCTGGAGATGAGTGTAGACCGCAGAATCCTGGCCTGATGATGTTGATCTTCTGTGCTGGGCGATCCTTTTGGCCAGTGCCTGTTTAGTTTCCCCGAAGTAAGACTGATCACAGCCCTCCTGACACTGAACAGCATACACAATATTACTCTGTTTGTGCCGGGGGACTGGATCTTTGGGATGAACCAGTCTTTGCCGTAATGTATTTTGGGGTTTAAAAGCCACTGGGACGTTATGTTTAGAAAATAAACGTCTCAGTTTCTCTGATACCCCCTCAACATACGGAATGACCACTGGTCTGGGTCTGGGTTCCTCCTTTTCACCTGATGGCTGACTGGAGTCCTGTTTGGGTTTCTTCTCTGCTTTCAGGAAGGCCCAGTTAGGATATCCACATTGCTCTAGAGCCTTTTTTGTGTAGGATTTCTCCTTCTGCCTGGCTCCTGAGTTAGTGGGGATACTGTCTGCTCTGTGATACAGAGTCCTGATAACTCCTAACTTGTGCTCCAAAGGGTGATGGGAGTCAAACTGCAAATACTGGTCTGTGTGGGTGGGTTTGTGGTACACCTCGGTTTGCAAATGTCCTCTATCAGATGGCCCAGCACAGAAGATCAACATCATCAGGCCAGGATTCTGTGGTCTACACTCATCTCCAGGCCAGCGGTCACTCTTTCAAGGATGAAGATGTTCACATCCTGGACAGAGAGGAACGATGGTTTGAGAGAGGAGTAAAGGAGGCCATCTTTGTGAAAAGAAATCGTCCATCATTAAACAGGGGTGGAGGCCTCCAGGTTCAACTGTCCCCCTCTTACAATGCTGTGATTGCTAGTATCACTCAGCCCTCTGTGAATAGTAAGCAGCCATCAGTGTGCTAATGATCCATTGTTAGGCTGATGGTCCTTCTTGAGCATGTGATCAGCTGGTTTTGGTTGTCAGCAGCAAACTGGTAGAACCACTCTGAGAAGGTGCTATTTAAGAGACTGAGCTGAAAACAGCACCTCAGACTGAGGAAGTCTCTTGGATGAGAGACGAAACGTTTCTATATTTGTTTGCTTTGTTTTGTTTTTTGTTTTTTTGAATGTCCAGAGGACCAGATTGAACTTTTTTGGATGCAGGAATGTTTAGGAACAGGTAGTGCAGACAGAGAAATGTTTTGAAGAAGTGAGAAACTTTGCAGATGCCAGTTGAAGTTATTTACTGTCTGCTAGGTTTAAAAACAAGATACTTTGTTCTAATAACTTGCTTTCTGACTTTTGACCGACATCCCTGACTTCTGACCGACATCACTACTCCTCATTCAGACAGAAGATCAAATTGCACCATTACTTTGTAAATAGACATTTAACTTGATTTCTGACTTCTAATGAGGTATAAAAATCATTAATACTGTTTCACAGTTCATTTAAAATGAGTGGTTCACTTCAACATTTTGAAATGGTATGAACTAAATACACTTTGATTATCAAGATATTCTAAAATAGTAATGATAATGAAAAAAAGAAGAGTGTTCTTTCAATTGATTAATACAGGATACAATTAAATAGTCTCTTGAGCTCATTTGTATTTCTGGATTCAAATCAATGAAATAACAGTTCCTGTCCCATGAAGTTCTTCAGAGACAGATTGTTGTCGGAGGCCTAGTTCACTACACCTGATTCCACTCACCTGTTCAGCTCTCATCTAGTTCACCTGCTCTGCACCCTTTATAAACTCCATTTTCACTCTCCACCAGTGCCGAAGTATTACACCACTCATGGTCCCTGATAGTGAAGCCTTTCGTCATAGTATCTTGTTCCATAGCTTTGTTACCTTGCCTTGTCTTGCCTTGAACCCTCACCTGTTGTTTGACTCCCCTCCTTGCCTGAACCTTTTTGGATTTTGTCTGCCTATCTGCCCATGGTTTCTGACTCTGTGCCTTCCCCTTTGACCATGCCTTTGGATTACGAGTCAGCTCCGTTTTCTGCTCTCTGCTTCAATGTACTTGAACCCTGCAATGGTTTACGAACCACTATTCTGGATCTCCCTGTTCTGGACATAAAGTCCTTTAATCTGCTCTGCTGCAACAGCTCACTTTATAGGAGTGACATCACCGGCTTCAGCGTGACTAAAGCTTCAGCCTCTACACCAAGACAGAAGGTTAGTGAAAACCCCAATATCCACCTGCACCTCCTTGTCCTCGCTAAAGTCACTAACCTTTCTGTCTTTTAAGATTGGACTCCCATCTTGCACCCTGTCTCCAGCAACCAGCAGACAAATTAAAATTTTTATTTTTTTTTTCATTTAGCCTTTATTTATCCAGGTTAGTCTCATTGAGCCACGAGAACTCATTTTCAAGAGAGACCTGTTTAGGGAGCAGATGGGGGTTAAGGGCCTTGCTCATGGGCCCAGAGTGGGGCGAATGAGGGTGGGGGCAAGTGTGGGTGTTTCACCTACCCCACCCACAATTTTGATGTTGTCGGGGCCGGGGCGTGAACCGGCGATCTTCGGATCACAAGCCCACCTCTCTAACCTCTGCGCCACCACTCCCCCCTAAATAAAACTGTTCTTGTTTTTATCCTGATACATGCTCAATAATCCAGGTAGAAAAATCTAAAAAAGTTAAATCTGGTCCTCTGGACATTCAAAAAAACCCAAAACAAAGCAAAACAACAAAAAATGTTCTTGTTTTTGCACACCTGTGTCTGTCTTAATCTGAATCCAAACCTCAACGTGACAGTTTCCTCATCTTTTCAGTCAGCTCTTAGTGTTTTCCCTCCTTGTGTTCAACCCTTGTCTCACTTGTGTCTAATGCTAATCACTGCAGGTGTCTGTCATTTGTCCCAATCAGTGTTGTGTATTTATGAAGTTCCTTGGTGTCTTGTCTTTGTCTCTGGATTGTCCTTTATGGTGTTGTGGTCTGCCTCCCATCCTGTCTGCCCTGATCTACCTGTATTAGTAAGTAAGCTGCCTTGTCAGCCTTTTGTTTTGTTTTTGTACAATAAATATTTTGTTGAACTTTTTACTCTCAAGCAACTTGTTATCCTCCTACACTTGGGTTCAACACACCTGATGGCTGAACACGATAGAATCCGGAGACCAATACTGAACACAGCAGGAGGATGATCACCCTGTTCTTGTTTCTGGCTTGAGAGGCAGATAAGACTGCCAAGAGGGACAAGGACAGAAGAGAAAAGGAGAAGGCAAAACCCATCATCCGGTGGGGCGGTTTCCAGATCGAGGAATCCAGACTGGCTCGAGAACATAGACCTTGCAGCCCAGAGGTGAAGCTCCTCCCATCTCCACTTCTGGGGGAGGAGGAAGAGAGGAGGTCCAAGTTCTGTGGGATGCATTTGGCCATTAAACCCGGACGCTTACCTCTGCTACTGCGCTTCTCTCCACCACCTCGCCACCTTTCCTCCATCTGGTCAGAGGAAGACTCTGAGCCAGAGGAAGAGTTCTGGTTTGCTCCTGATCCCAGCACATGCTGCCGCCGGAAGAAGCGCGGATGGTCGAACAGAACAGAACTCACTAACCCACAGTCCCTCCCTCTACCAGAGGAACAGTGGAAAATTCCACTGGGGGAGGTACTTTCATCCACCATAGGTGCAGCTCAGCCCACGCTCACTGGTGGAATGAGGGAAGATTCCGTTCAGGGAGAGGTACCCATACCCAGATTTGCCAGTGGGGCGATCGGGCTCTTGCTTCATCGAGGATGTTCCTCACTGCTGTTCTCCTGAGGGTTGCACATCTGCAGACCTCCTGATCACCACGTCTGCAGCTCTTCTGGTTCCTATGCCTGCTCCTGGTCCTCTGTTCACATCACCTGCACTAAGTCTACTGGTCCCATATACTGCTGCAGACCTTCTGATCCACATGTCTGCTGCAGCTCATCTATTGGCTCCACATCTGGTGCAGGTCTTCTGGTCCCTACACCTGCTCCACATCCTCTGGTCCCCTCACCTTCTGCAGGGGCACTGGCTCCTGACTTGCCTGCTGCAGAGGTTCTGTTCCCCTCTCCTGCTGCAGAGATTATGGTCCCCTCACCTGCTACAGAGGTTCTGGTCCCGTCACCAGTTGAAGAACCCTGGTCTGACTCCTCAGCTGCAGCTTCCCTGGTCCCGACATCCACAGAGGGTTCCACGGCAAGTACAGCGCCTGAGGTTCCTGTTGTTTTTGGGTCTATCACAGAATATCCTATCTACCGCAGAAGATTCCGAGTCTACCCCAGCAGATTCCGAGACTACCGCAGAAGATCTGGAGTCCACTGCAGAATATCTTAGGTCTGCAGAAGTCCCAGGGTCCTCGTATCATTCTTGCTCTCTGTCTTACCCTGGGTCCTTGCCTCTCCTCGTTCCTGGCTTGTCTGCCGGGGTCCTCATTCCTGGTTTGTCTGTTTGGGTCATCGTTCCTGGCTCATCTGCTGGGGTCTTGGTTCCTGGTTTATTTGCTGGGGTCCTCATCCTTGGTTTAGCCCTGAAGGTCCTCTTCTGGTGGAATCTAGGACACAGGTGGACGCCCCTGCTGCCCATGGATGGACGGTCTCCTGGCCACCCGTCGGAACCCTGGCTTGGGGATGGATGGTTTCCTGGCCACCATCCTGATCTCCTGCCTCTTTGGGGACTGTCACTGAACTGCCCGATTGAGCGTCGGGCCTGCCTTTGATGGTCACCCGACCATCCACCTTGACTCTGGGTTGGGTTTCTGGGTCTTGTAGTTTTGTGTTTAAATCTCCCCAGGTTTGCCTGTTGTTTTTTTTGGTCCTCGTGTTCCTCTGTGTTTCCCTGTCTAGGTCTGTCATGTTTTTTCTGCCTCCTACCCAAGTTGGATGTAGCCTCACCCTTGGGATGTCAGGGGCTATCCCTAGGGGGGATACTGTAGGGGTTCTGTGCTTTGTTCTGTCTTTGTCTGTTTCCTCATGTTTTCAGTCAGCTCTTTGTGTTTTCCCTCCTTGTGTTCAGCCCTTGTCTCACTTGTGTCTTATGCTAATCACCGCATGTGTCTGTCGTTTGTCCCAATCAGTGTGGTGTATTTTTTCAGCTCCTTAGTGTCTTGTCTTTGTCTCTGGATTGTCCTTTATGGTGTCATGGTCTACCTTCCGTCCTGTCTGCCCTGATTTGCCTGTATTAGTAAGTAAGATGCCTTGTCAGACTTTTGTTTTGTTTTTGTACAATAAATATTTTGTTGAGTTTTTACTCTCGAGCCTATTGTCCTCCTCCTGCACTGACTTCAACACACCTGAAGGCTGAACGTGACAAAACTGTAAAACTGATTTGCAATTTAGTTGCGCTGTTTAATTATATTTTTGTGTTTTTAATTAAATTGTCCATGACTTTTAACTTTTAGGGGCAGAGATTTTTTAAAGGGTAGAAGTTGAAATGCTTACATGAAGGGGCAGCTCTGATGTGATATTACTAAGCTTGTTATGTTTAAAATGAGGTTTATGAGTTCTAGAATTGCGCCGCTCAAGGTGGCTGCATGTTGGAGTAGCTGTGTTATTTTCATTCTGAGATATTGTTAGGATTTGTGGTCAGGAGCGAACCCAGAGTGCAGAACAGGGACTCAACTCGGCAGGATTACAAAAATAGGAATTTAATGATAAATAAAAGGTACAAAATAACAAGCTGACGGGGCAGCAAAACTTACATGAACATAGGAAGGAGGCACGGGAAACTCAGGAGGACTCAGGAGACACAGGAGACTCGAGGAACCA